AAGGTGCTGGACTCCCACATGGCCAACCATGGCTTGAGTCCCAGACCTGGCGACTTGCTTTCTCTCTTTCCATCTCTCTTTCTCTTTCCCCATGTCCCTCTCTGGTCAAGTTAAAATAAATAAATAAATAAATAAATAAATAAATAAAATACTTCTTTAAAAAAAATAAATAAATGAAAATGGGACCAGCAGTTAGTTTAATGGCTACGTTGCTGGACTCCCATGTAGACAACCGCAGTTCGAGTCCCACGTGTGTGTACGTGCCCAAGATCCCGAGAGTACAGTGGAGGAGAAAGGATTGCGGCGTGTCCATCCCCCATGCAGGGTGATTTCTTGCCTTCTTTCTCTCTGTCTGTCTGGCGAGCGCACGCACCCTATAGCAAAAACCTCTCCAAAAAACAAATCAAGGAAAGACCTCCCACAGCAAAAAGATAAAACTCCCTGTAGGCTGGGACCAGCAGATGGCATAATGGCTCTGTCACTGGACTCTCATGTAGTGGACTGCAGTTGAAGCCCTGGACCTGGCTGCTTAAACTCACAGCGGGAGCGTGTGCGTGCATGCCCAAGATCTCCGAGGAGAATGGAGGAGAAGGGGTTGCAGCATGGCCATCCCCCCGGGGGGATGATTTCTCGCTTCTGTGTCTCGGTGCTTTCTCCTCTCTGTCTCTCTCTGGTGAATGCACACACTCTCTGGAAAAATTAAAAAAAAAACCTCACTGAAGGCTCAGGTGCTTGCTAGCATGTTTTAGCATAAAGTATTTTTAAGCTCATTTAGTTCATGTATATGTGAGGGTGTACCCCTGACAGGGGCTTGCCATGCCATGACCCTCTCCCCAGCCTCCCAGCCAGCCAGCGTCCCAGGTGCAGGTGGGCACATTCCACAGGGTGCAGGCCAGCCTGGGATCTGAACCGTGGGACTCCAGCACTGCCCAGCCGCGTCCTACCACCCACACCACCATGCCTGAGCTTTGTTTCATTGTATTAGGTTTTTGCTATAAGATCTGTATTCTCCCTGGAGAGAAAAAGAGACAGAGAAAGGGAAAGTGAGAAATCACTGCGGGGGGATGGCCATGCCACATCCCTTCTCCATTCTTTTGGGATCTTGGGTACGCACGCACACACACCCGCCCAGCACGGTTTTCAAGCCGCCGGGTCTGGGACTTGAACCGCAGTCGGCCCTGTGGGAGTCCAGCGTCTTAACCACCATGCCACCTGCTGGCCCCGCCCTTCTGCCCTGGAGCTGGGTTCTGTCATGTAGAATGTGCACACAGCAGGAAGGTGGAGGTGCTAGGCAGCCGTGAGAACTGAAGGAGGGGACTTGTCCCGGCACAGAGAAGCCCCTTGTCTGACAGCCCTTACGAGTCTCCCCACCCCCTCTGACAGCTGCCCCAGGGGACCCGGTCCTCCCTCTGCCGAGGGCCCTAGACCTATCCGCACTCAGAGCCCCGGCGCAGCCCCAGAGGGCTGGGACCACAGCTGGGTCCTCCCCAGCCCCTCTCCAAGGTGAAAGGGGGGTCACGTGGGACAGTGACGAGCAGCTGTCATCCAGGGTCAGACCCAGCTCTGACATGGGCCAGCATGAGGCCCGAGGGCCCCGTCAGCGCCCACGCCTCGGTGCACTGACCCTTGACATGGGGCTGATACTCCCTCCCACATACGAGGGAAGTGTGCAGAGTGGCAGCGAGGGTGGAGTGAGCTGGGCCTTGGCCATGGCCCCTCCCCGACCCTGCCCTGCTGCCTCGGGACCTCAGATGCCAGCACAGACGGTCCCACCCTGTCCTGGCCCAGCCTCCTGGCCCTCACCTGCTCTCAGCCTCTGCCCACCGGCCTCCTCGACCCCTCTCTCCCTGCTGGCTCCTCGTCCTTCAGGCTCTCCCAGAAGGGGACCCCCCCCTCCCCAGCACCGCATCCAGGGGGACCTTCACCGAGCACATCTCTGTCACACCAAGAGACCTGCGTCTGGTCCCCGGATGGTGGGCTGAAAGCTCCCCAGGTCTGAACCTGGGTCCCCTGTCTCTGTCTCAGCCCAAGACCGGCCACAGAGCAGGGGGTGACAGCTGCCCTTTGCAAGGGTAGATGGGGGAGCACAGGCTGGGGCTTGAGCCAGGGGGCGCTGTGCTTGGTAAAATGACCTGAACTGTGGCCAGCGGCGTGGGGGGGCGCCCGCGCCAGTGAGGCTGCGGAGAGGTCCCCATGTCTGCAGCCAAGCAGCAGGTGGGGCTGCCCACTGGTGGCTCCTTGTCGCAGGAGATGCCCCCACCGTTCATGAAGGACCCCTCCACGTCCCAACAAAACGAGGCTGTGCACCCCCTCTGAAGAGGACAGGACCAGGGGAACCAGCAGTTAGCTTAATGGCTATGTCGCTGGACTCCCACGTAGTCGACCGTGGTTTGCTTCCCGGACCCGGTGGCTTAAACTCACGCCGGGCATATGTGCATGCGTGCCCAAGATCCCGAGAGGAGAATGGAGGAGAAGGGATTGCGGCGTGACCATCCCCCC